GTTAAATAATTCAACATCTAGTAATAATAATAAATATAACATAAATTTGAATAAATAAGAGTACAAAGGATAGAATTTATATTAAAATGATATCCGTAGTACGATGATTTAATGTACAATAAAAGCAAATAATAATAAGAATTAAATTAATAATAAAATAAATGAAATTTCTGAATAATAAATAATACTAGAAAAATAATGAACTTGTTTAGAATTTTTCAAATTCTAGAATTGTACGTTTTTGCCAGTACTGTACAAATATCTGCGAATTATTATTTAAAATATATCGGTCTGATTTTCGAAAGCTGGAACCGGTGTTAAAATATCCATGTCCGAATATGAGTGATTAATAAAAGTGATGATTCATTGTAATGCGACAGTGTACTACAAGTGTTTGTGTTATAAAACATCATTTTTGTATGTGGAGCTACATATATCTGACCGTGAGGAGTACAGGTGTGGGCAATATTGCTTTTTGTTGTTTATTATTCTGTTGTAGCGTTCATGTTATTTTATTTTTTCGAACGAGAAAACCGGTTGCGCGATATCGTGCCTTGGCCTGCGACTGTGGTGGTGTTTTCGTTGATACTCTCGAGAGTTTAATTTCTATTACACAACTGCACTTACTTGTGCGGTCCATTTGTACATTCAAGATATATGCGACACCTGAATTCCCATATATTGTCATACCAGGGCAGAAATATAGCCTAGGAGGCATTGTAATAAATTACCTGTGCGACGACCGTTTTTAAGCAGACGAGCATTTTGGCACGCCTGGAAATATTAACCGATCGCTCTTGATCATAGGGATACTATATAAAAAAACAAAGTGCAATATTGATTGAACTAGCTAAGGACTATTTTTCTGTTTTACATTCAAAAATTACAAAAAAATACGCTCAGAATAAGGGCTGAACAAATTAGTATTTTTATGCCTATATATCCCAATGGAAAACAAACTGGTGGTGCATAGCATCGTGCCTTAAGGCAAATTGCTGAAACTTCACGTACCGTAATTTAAATTTTTTAACATTTTTTGAAAATTTTTGAAAAAGAATTTTTTTTAAAAAAGTGTATTTGAATAGTTTAGAATTTTTAAAATTTTAAAATTTCTTAAAAGTTTTAAAAATGTCGAGGAAATTTGTTTGATCTGTATAAGAACTTTATATATTATAAGTCTTGGTACGAAATTCATACAATTAAAAAGAAATATTGTACTTAAATCTTTATAAAATATCCGATAATTTCATGTGCATATATCTAAAGATCATTTTACCGCCAAATGTACACTTTTTTTTTAAAAAAAATATTGGATATCCGAAACCGCTGGACATGCCTTCTCAAAAATGCAATTAATTACTTATTCCATAAACATAAGTAAAATTGTTTTTGAATCATTCAATTTAGACGCTCCGTTCTATCAAAAAGTGCTTTGCCATTTTTAGCATTTTTTTGTCCCGTTTCTTTTGCCAAAATCTAATCTGCACGTCTCCCCATCAATACGAATCGAATATTATTTGAATAAAATCTGTTGATATGTTCGATTGAAGTCGTGGACAAAAATTGTATCCGCACATACATAAATACATACTACACATCAAAATACACACACACGTCAATATTTAATTTTATTTTAATTATATATTTTAATATTTAATTTATTTAACACGTTAATATTTTAACTTTTCAAATTTTGATAAGATTAAAACATTGTAAATAATTTAGTAGCTATTAACGCTGCTATTTACCAAATCCAAGTTAACAAGGTTCAACCATTTCTGTATATAATTCAACATTTCAGGCAAATTTTGTCATACAATTTTTACACACCAGAATAAAATAACTTGATTATTATAATCTTTATAAATCGAATCCCGACACCTATCAAATCCGATTATAAATACTGAATATGTAACGCTAATATACTCATAATTATAATGAATAATATCGAATAGATATATGTAATGTATATAAAGTCATTGTAATAAATGGAACAAAGATAATAAATGAAAAAAGTGAAATCGATATGATAGAATTTCAACGTTGAATGACAAATGAAATAGGATATATATATATATATATATATACATATATATATGTAGTCCTTTTATCTTAACACGTTAATTGCCAATGTCAGTCATATGTGTATGATGGTGAGAAGTTTTACATAAGCCATGTCATACATATATGTCTGACAAATTGTTCTGAAAATTTTTTTGGCTTGTAAAAAAAAAAGTTCTATTATAGGGCCATGTCAGTCACATTTGTGGGACATAAAAATTCATGTTTTCCAAGAATTTTGGCACAGAAAATTTTTCTTGGATTCATTAAGTTTCCTGGATTCATTTTTAACTACATTTTGTCACTTGATTTAATCAGCATTGATTCCTGACGTGCATTTGATCATTTAATTTTTTATTATTTATAAGAAAGTTTTTGAGTTCATACTATAATCTCTGAAATACTGTCAATATTATTTAAAACGAATGGAAAGTCAACTACTGAGCTGTTCTTTCCAATAATGTCTATTTTATAACTGACAATTGTAAATTTATCAAATTTGCTAAATATTCTTAACTGGACAGTTATAAATATATGTGTAGAAAAAAATTAACAAAATTATCTAATAAAGTTCCCATAGCCCATGTGAATTTTTTCTAATTATCGTGGCGATTAACGTGTTAATGAGTAGATGAGTAGATTGGCAAGAGACCGTAACTTCACTGAGAAATTTGTACTTTCTTATAAGAAATAATTTATAATATGATAAGGCTTTGTCAAACAGAAAGAGATAATAGTAATTTATGACAAAATTCATTTATGTGTGATAAATCCAAGAAATTATCTTTCCGAATCAGATTTCCAAATTTCCCTAAACAGTTTATCATATCGCTGCATTGCGTAACTTCATAATGCGATTCTCACGTTGTTATCTTTTCAAGTAACACTATCTGGTTCCTTTTCTAAGTATACGATTATTTATATCAAGTTTATCGACAAGATAACACAAATGTTTGTTCTTCTGAAATACGATAACTATGGGAAGAAATTGCACTTCAGAAATTATTTGGGCTTGTCAGAGTTTTAGTTGGCAACCACAAGTTCTAAGTTCAAATCTCTCTTCGGCCCGCCTAATATAAAGCAGTAGTAGTATGGGGTTTTACTTGAAAATATAGATCTAAATATTGCTGCATCATAATTAAAATATATTATCATATTATCAGTATTAGAGAAATCCTAATGATAAAATAATGATACCATACGGTTCTAAGAAAGCGACGTTGCTAAGCAGAAATTTCGTGACAAGATGATTGTGAAGTTCTAATTGCATTTTTAGAAAAAAGTTATTACACATAAAAGACCTGTATATGCATATATTCTATATATTTTGAAAGTACTATGTGTTCACTTGCAAAACTAGTATTAAATTACACATTGCACAATTTTTAAATGTTTTTTTTGTGTGGATATGATTCAGAGTCAGGATCTATTAATAGTTAATGATTACTCCAGTTTGTTACATAT